CTGCTCTTTCCACAAGCAATGACTGTGGATCTAAGCAAAACAAAATCTTTAACAAATTCAATCTTTTCTCTCTTTATCATGATGTTGTTTATTGGTCCTTATGAGAATTTCTGTTTTCTTTATGTCAAGGTATAACCCATACTAAAGTCTTTATTATTTCATCTTCATCAATAAGTACATCAATAATCCTTTTTACTTTCAGCAAGCAAGGTTTTATTATGTTCATATTTCAGGTTGTTAGTCTTCCTCTAATCCTGATGCCACATTCATCTTCATATAGTCCAGCTTCTTAGATTATTTGCTCAGCATACAGATTGCATAAATATGGCAAAAGGATACAACCCTGACACATACCATTCCTTCTTTTAAATCATGCAGTATTCACTTGTTCTGTTGGAATGACTGGCTCTTAGCTTATGCACAGGTTCTGCATGAATACAATCAAGTGTTCTGGGATTCCCATCCTTTGCAATATTATTCATGACTTGTTATGATCCACACAGTTGAATACCTTTGCATAGTCAATAAGTAGAGTTAAACATCTTTCTAGTATTGTCTTCTTTCAGTCAAGAGCTATCTGACATCAGCAATGGTTTGAATTTCTGACTACTGCTGCAACCAATTTTGAATTATATTCAGCAAAATTGTACATGCATGTGATCTCACTAATATTGTGCTATGATGTCCACATTCTGTTGGATCACCTTTGTTTAGACTGGATACAAATATGGATCTCTTCTAGTCAGTTGACCAGTAGTTGAGCACTTCCAACGTTGCATTCATTCATTGAAACATCTCAACTGGTATTCCATCAATTCCTGGAGCCTTGTTTTTTGCCAGTGTCTTCAGTGCAGCTTTTACTTCTTCCTTCAATACCTTTGACTCTTGATCATATACTACCTCCTGAAGTGGTTGAACATTGAGCAATTCTTTTTGGTACTGTTATTCTATATTCCTTTCATCTTCTTTTGATGCTTCCTGTGTTATTCAATATTTTGCTCATGTTGTTGTTGTTAAGTGCTGTCAAGTCAGTTCCAACTCATAGTGACTCTGTATAGGGTTTCTGAGGCTGGTGTGTTTGAACCACCGATCTTATGGTTAGCAGTCCAGTCCTTATCCTTCAGCATCACATAAGGATTCCATTTTTCCCATGGTGGTGGTGGTTGTCATGGTGTGC